AGAAGTTCCCTTCATACAAGAAGTTTCAGGCGCATACACTTCTCCGTTTCTAGACACAGATGGACTAAAAGTGGCTTAACGGGCCCGAAAGGTTTCCGGGGATTTCGAGAAACGGACCCCAGGTCCGCAAATGATCCCGGCCCGCAAATGGTCCCCGGACCGGAAATGGTCGCCTAGCAATAAAAGATGGCAATGTATGGACTCAGGAATTTGGACACAGTTAATCTAAAATTTAAATAATTGATTTTTTTAATGGTGTGAAACTTAGAAAACCGTGAATACTTTGATTTGATTCTGAAAGGTACCGTTTATTGTGTACTGAACCCTGACTGAACCAATCAGAACAAAGTTTAGGATACACGAGAAAACCTCAAAACCACAACTGGTTGCAGCTGCTGTTTGAGGTTTGATTTAGTTGGCTTTTTGTCCTTGCTACACAATAATATTCCATAAATATTTCTGGTTTTCACGTTTTTTTTGTTTTTTTTTTTTAGTTTCACAGTAATAATACAATATTTTGATACATCAGTTACTATATGTAACGCAAGCAAAATTTGCAGTATTAACGATTTTAATGGAAATTTCACAACTTTGAAAATGATATCCAGCGTCACGAAATCTTGTGTCTAAAATTTGTGGTATAGCTTGGTCCTTCGAGAATTCCCAAGTGAATTGACTACATTTTCTCTTAACTTTCGGTACAGAAGAGATTATTGACAGTAAAATTGCTCGAGCAAAAGCGACAGCTCTATTCATATGGCATGCAAATAAATCTATCGAAAGAACATTGCCGTAACTTGCATGGAAGCCCGTGTCTATTAAGGACGCAGGTATAAAAAGTGTACGGGGAAAAGTTCTAAGCGGTTAATTAGATAGCAGAGGCTCCGAATCGAAATCATTGTAGGTTTGTACCAGGATACGAGCCATGTTCACCTTCACCGTCGTTCTGTTCTATAAGTTCCAACATTCTTGTGTTTCATTCTCAACTGAAAAAATGACTTTGTTTCTGCACATTCCAGGTTCGGTTTTGCCCATCCAATTTACGCAACATTACAGCGCGCAGTAAGCTCTCCAAAACACAATTAGAGGATCGGATACCCATGTAAAACCACGCCGAATTCGTTGTTTTCAAACTGATCGAGG